TGTGCCATCTGACACTAGGATTCTTGAAATAGAGTATAATATAGTGTCCAAGCATTCAAACAGATGGGCATTTCCAGGGCGTTCTTACTGTTTTGCTTTTGTTTCGTTCGTTTTAAGGTACGGATGGTCAGAATTCCTACCAACGGATCCTTGCTAAGTTTTTTCAGAAATCCAGTTTAGAGCTTTGTAGCTGGGGAAGAAAGATGGAAGAAATTCCTTGGCATCTCAAGCAAACTGGTTCATTCAATGAGTTGCATGATTTCCTCAGTGATCTGGCGTACGTTATCTCTAGTTTATCTTTGAATATAAATATTTTGCTAATGCAGCGAGTTTTTAGTCAATGATGAAATAAACCCTCCATATTTTTCATAGTACCGTGGAGTTTTTGTCAAGCAGCCTGAAGCGATACCCACAGATGACAATTGATGTTATACATTATTGGGCACTACTAAGGCAGAGAGGATTTGACCCTCTGACTTCATTCCAGAATCTGATGGCTAAGACTTGGGAGCGTCTTTATGGTAAAACTAATTATTTTTATTATAACATTTAAAAATCATGAATATCTGTCATCACAGTACAGTAATGTAAATTGTATTAAATGGTTTTAGAAATTGTAAAGCATTGCAAGGTATTGCCTTCTGCAGATCCTCTGGGAAATCATAATTCTGATATATAGACAGACACAGAAAAGCAGAAATGATGACTCAATGATCACTTCTTGGTAAATGTTAACTAAATTCACCTGGTCTTTCTTAGACATTCACCCTCCAGATCACAGCAGTTTGTGGAGTTTGTCATTGTACTGTTCTAAAGTTCTGCTCTGTTTGGGGGAAATGCAACAAGCTGAGGAGCTGCTACTGCAAGCAGATCGAATTTTCCAAAAGGTAAAAATGATAAAAGACACTGATATTTTAAAAGAAATTGTATGCATTCAATTTTCTGAATGCAAGATTGAATTCATTCATCTGTTCTGATGGTTTCTTCCACAGGGTGTAGAGCTGGATAGTGACAGTATGAGCTTACTACTCAAAGTGCAACATATGCTGGCAGAGTTTTACATCCAAATGCATCTGCCAAAAAACACAGAGATGTATTGCCACAAGGGACTTGAGACGGCTCGGTCTCTTACAGTAGCCCACCTTGACAGCACAGAGGTCAAACTGATAGTTGGTAAGATGCATGTCATATTTCATCCTGCATTCACATAACTTTTATAAAAAGACATGCAAGTTATTTTTGGCAAGGGTAAATTTGAACACATGTAGCACTAATCTGCTCTTACAGGACAGCTGCATTGTCGTCTGTGTGTGGCATTGCTGGAGGATGGACGGCTTTATGCAGTGCCAGGGCTTTTCAAAGAGATCAGCTCGGCTAGATGCATCTCTGGCCATCCTTGTGCTGACGGCACAGCTATGCTACTGAAGGCCATTCACAAGTAAGATAAAAAAGTTTGTTTTTCTCTAAATGAAATTAAATGAAATTAAGAATTTATATCAAATAGAGTGAAGTGACATGTGGCCCATACTCGGAATTAGTGCTCTGCATTTACCCATCCAAAGTGCACACACACAGCAGTGAACACACACAAACCGTGAACACACACCCAGAGCAGTGGGCAGCCATTTATGCTGCGGCGCCCGGGGAGCAGTTGGGGGTTCGGTGCCTTGCTCAAGGGCACCTCAGTCGTGGTATTGAAGGTGGGAGAGAGTGCTGTACATTCACTCCCCCCACCTACAATCCCTGCCGGTACGAGACTTGAACCCACAGCCTTTGGGTTATGAGGCCGACGCTCTAACCATTAGGCCACGACTTCCCCTATATATATACCATATTTACCAAATGTTACCAAATAACATACCATATTTACATCCACGTCAATAGGTGTCAGTATAGTCTAAGAGTCTATGACCACTGTTTTATTAGCCAGAAATATATACAGAAATTACTTGAAATCCATTTTAATGCATTTTCACATTTGTCTAGGTTGAGTCTTTGTGAGCCCAAGACTGCTGAGAAATGCTTTCAAGCTGCACTGGCCAGCAGGAGGCGCTGGTACGGCCATGATCATCCTCTGGTAGCAGAAGTGGAGGAGCAGCTTGCAGATCTTTGGGCCAGTGCTCAAACCAACACAGAGTGAGATGCTTGTGTTTAGTTACGTCAATCTGTCATCATACCTTAAAGTCCTATTATTTGATTTCAAGGTCACTGGCTTGACTTTTAGATGGACACAGAGGAAGATGGTTGAACTGTACCGGCATGTTATAAGCACTAAAGAGACTGAGGCTCAGAAGTTGCAACTTCCCACCATGCAACACGACCTTGCTGTCATTCTTATGAAGCTTGGTGAGTGACTAAATGGCCTTAAATGGCGACTGGTTGTGCCACTGCGTGCTTGAACACAACAGTAACCTTTTAAGTGGCCTTGGTTTCAATGGCATATTTTTCATTAAAAGCTTTGAACCAAACCATCCAGCTCCAAAATGAATCACAACTTCAGAAACTCTTATTTGAAGGTAAAATGTATTTGATTCTTTTTTTTTTTTGGACAAAAAGAAGTGTGCTGTGTTTGTATATTTATACACTACCAGCCCAAGGTTAGGAATGATTAAGATTTTTTTTTTTTATGTTTTTGAAATAATTATCTTATGTTCTCAAGGCTGCCTTGTTTGATCAAAAATACAGTAAAACTAATATTCTAAAATATTATTACAATTTAAAATAACTGTTTTTGAATATATTTATGTAATATATTTTCAGCAGCCATTACTTCAGTCTTCAGTGTCACATGATCCTTAAGAAATCATTCCCTTTACACTTTATTTCGATAGTCCACTTTAGACATTCTATTAACTATAGGCAACTTTGCAACTATACATTAACTAACTCTTAGATAAAGAGTAAAGAGTTAGGTAAAGGTAAAGAGTTAGTAGAATAAGTTGACGTACTTATACTGAAGACACTGAAGACTGGTGAAATGGCTGATCAAAAAATCAGCGTTGCCATCATTGAAATAAGTTACATTTTAATATATTCAATAGAAAACAGTTATTTTCAGTTGTAATAGTATTTCAAAATATGATTGTTTTTACTGTATTTTTGATCAAATAAATCATGCATTTTTGGTGAGCATTGTAAATCAGCAACTGAAGTCATTCACTGCCAGTTTAAAATGCCTTATAGTATATTACAAAATATTCAAATATGTAAGTTGTTCTGCTGTTGTCTGATGTCATTACATCATGCTCTGTTCTGTCCCAGATGTTTTGTGTATTTTATACTGTCTGGCAGGTAAAGTGTTGTTGCGTAGCTGCAGTAGAGTTGAGAGGAGAGAGGGGCTGGATCTGCTTCAGAGAGCTGCAGACATAAGGATTCACCCCTTGGGCCCTGAGCACCCACTGACCCGAGACCTGGAGCTGTGAGCTCAGTTTCACTACAATATTGTATTGTAATCACACAGATACTCTTAATTCATTTTTAATCTGATCTCTTCTGCAGTGTTTCGAACCCTGATATTGTAGGACAGAGGAAGCATGTTCTAGAGGTCATCAGGACCACCTCAAACAATAAACTGTCACTGGGTAGGTCTACAACTGCTTTCAAGGAATCACACTGTGGGCTGCAACAACCATCCTCAAAGTCACGTATAACACTAGCAACTACCAAACTCCCTAGGAGCTTCTCTACACAAACAGCATCATGTTGTAACCAGGATGAAACCCTAAAAAGACCATGGACGACTTTCCAGGTCTGCGTATTTGGGCCACAGAGTGACATTAGGACTCTATTACAAACAGGAAACGCTGATTGGTTTGACCGGCGACAGTCCCTTACCAGATCAACTGGGGGTCTTTCTCAGGAAGATGCATCATGTTGGAGGAAGCTTTGAAAGCACTGAACCAATAGATAAGAAGACACTTTGTCACATGGTCAGAGTAGCTATTCTATTCTATTCTATAACTTTTTACCTTTGTGTTGCTCGCTGAACTTGACAAATTTCTATAAAGCTACTTTGAAACAATATAGATTGTGAAGCACTATATAAATAAAAATGACAACTATTAGAATAGATACATTTTTTATTTATATTGAACATATATCTATTTTTAGCAATTTATCATTTGTTTGCATAAATAAATCTAAGTTTATTATAGAATTATTACAGTATGCATTCATAAGACATAAAACCTGTGATAGCAGAAATAAACTGAATGCTGAAATACTGTAAATGTGAATATAAATTATATTCCTACATAGTCTATAATATTCTGTTTAATACACTGTTACAGTATTGGTAACTAATACAGTGGTGTGAAAAAGTGTTGGCCCCCTTCCTGATTTCTTATTTTTTTGGTTTACCAAAAAATCCTGAAGGAGAATGTCCGGCCATCTGTTCGTGACCTCAAGCTGAAGCGAACTTGGTTTCTGCAGCAGGACAATGATCCAAAACACACCAGCAAGTCCACCTCTGAATGGCTGAAGAAAAACAAAACGAAGACTTTGGAGTGGCCTAGTCAAAGTCCTCACCTGAATCCTATTGAGATGCTGTGGCATGACCTTAAAAAGGCAGTTCATGCTCGAAAACCCTCCAATGTGGCTGAATTACAATAATTCTGCATAGATGAGTGGACCACAATTCCTCCACAGCGCTGTAACGGACTCATTGCAAGTTATCGCAAATGCTTGATTGCAGTTGTTGCTGCTAATGGTGGCCCAACCAGTTATTAGGTTTAGGGGGCAAACACTTTTTCACACAGGGCCATGTAGTTTTGGATTTTGTTTTCCCTTAATAATAAAAACCTTCATTTAAAAACTGCATGTTGTGTTCACTTAGTTAGTTATCTTTTATTAATATTTAAATTTGTTTGATGATCTGAAGCATTAAAGTGTGACAAACATGCAAAAAAATTAGAAATCAGGAAGGGGGCCAACACTTTTTCACACCACTGTATATTAATAATATCTATCTATCTATCCGGAGCCTGAGGGTGGGTGTTTTTTGTAAGACTTTTATTTTGAAAAGAACTGGCACTGTGAACTTGGCATTGACTCATAAGGCTTTCAGAGATTCCGCTTTCATTTCTGAAGAAAAGCAGAATAGAAACCATATTAATAATAAGGCTAGACAGCAGCCCAGCAGTGGTCTCAGATCTGCGCAGACATGTCGGGTTACTCTCGGATCATACATTATGCGACCAGCATATTATGCGGCAATAAAGGATCTATGGAAATATCTCAGCTGCACCGCCAGGTGTTCCAGCGCTTCGAGATCTCCGAGGAGGATTTCTTGTGCATCGTTAAGAAATGCTCTCGCTTCACAGTGATCCAGAGCAGATCCAGAACTGAGGATGGAGAGTCCGACTGCATCGTCGTCGCGAAAACATCTCTGAGACTCTGCAAGAAATATTCGAAGAATGAATGTTACGAGTGCCAGGATTTACATCTGTGCAAGTATTATGTTTACGGGAACTGCAGATATGGAAAAGGAAGGTAAGGTTGAGAGAACGTCTGGATGTCTAGCGTAATATATTCCCATTGTAATAATCAATACAAGACAAAATAGATATACTGTACTTATAAATAACAACAGCTATTTGCTGTCATCATAGTTATATCAGTTTAGTGGCATGAAAAAAGAATACATTCATAACGATTGTATGTTCTGCAAGACCCATTGATATTTTGCATGAGCTTTAAAATTATTTTGTGAATATTTTACTGCTTCGTGATAATAAACAGATTGGCCAGTATTTTGTTTATTTTTAACCAATATTAAAACTTTCTACGTAATTGATTATGTAGACAAGATTTATTAATATTAATAACAGCACCTATTAATAAGAATTAAGTTTCCTTAATATTGATAATAACACCCAGCAACGCTATTCTATGGTATAATAATAATAATAATCAATAATAAAATGTTAATATGTTTTAAGTGTGGTATTAAGTATAATGATTATTTAGTTGTTAGTGTGTCAAAAATCAGAAATAAAATGATTATCTGCTTATTGGTTATTACACATTTATACATCAAAATACTCTGTAGGTTATCTATAAAAGCAATATCAATCTCTTACACAAATAAATGTATGGTAATTATGTACAGCCCAAAATCACTATATGCTTATGTGTTTGTGTGTGTCAGGAAGGAGTGTAAATTCTCCCATGATATCCAGTCACAGCAGAACTATCCCCTGCTGCGGGAATGTACGCTTCATGAACTGAACGAGGATGATCTCTTCCTGCTTCTGCTCCAGAACGACCCTGCCCTACTGCCAGAGGTGAGGAAATGCAAGAACAGGAAGGCTAAAATAGTCATCTAGAGCCATGAGAGATTCCTCCCCAAAGCCAAAATCATGCTATGACTGGGATATTTCTGCATTCCAGGTACCTCTCCTGCTGATTGAAATGCGCTCCTTCGTTTCTTTCGCTGGGCGCTCAGTTACGAGACGTTTTTAGAGTAGAATAGAGCTCATGTAACCGCTCAGACGTTTGTTCTGGCATGCTTGAATCAGCCACTGGCTACACCCAAATGTACAAAATAATTGAATATTTGAGTATGTAATTAGTCCATCAGAACGCAAAAGGAGCTTGTTTTCTGCGTTATATCCTGGATAAGGTGCAGTCTGATCAGTTCCATCAGTCAAACGCCCGTAATCTTAAAAATAAAAAAAAACACTCAAAAAAGCAAGACAGCAAGAAAAAGTAAAAAAAACAAGTGGTGAATTGAGAAGAATTGTGGTCCGCGTTCAGGATGAAGAGTACCTGATGGTTCTGAGATCTTCAGGTGTCCTAAGTGTGTTTCTCCAGTTTGGTTTGGACAAAAACAAAACCAAAAAAAAGAAAAAGAAAAAAAGGAGAATGTCCTGTAATCAGGTAAAGTAGAATGTTTTGCTGAGCTCTGTGATGCACTGGTTTAATCTTGAAGTTTGACTGTATTTGTAAGGCATTTCATTTGTTTACTTTAATTATTAATAAATGCATGTGTGGTTTTGAATATTGTACCGATCACGTTTGGAATCATTACATTTTTTTATCTTTTGAAGGAAGTCTCTTATGCTCATCAAGGCTGGATTTATTTAATCAAAAACACAGTAAAAACAGTAGTATTATTTACATTTAAAATAACTATTTTAATATATTTTAAAACGTAATTTATTCCTGTGATGCAAGGCTAAATTTTGAGCATCGTTACTTCAGTCTTCAGTGTCACATGATCCTTCAGAAATCATTCTAATATGCTGATTTGCTGCTTAATTGTTATACATTTTTATTGGTGCTCAATTATGAATAGTTCTTATTAATTTACTATTAATGTTGGAAACAGTTTTTGCTGCTTTATTTTTATGGAAGCTGATACTTTTTTTAGGATTCTTTGATGAATTGACATTGAATATGAATTGTTATCAACACTGATAACAATAAGAAATGTTTCTTAAGCAGCAAATCAGCATATTAGAATGATTTCTGAAAGATCCTGTGACACTGAAGACTGAAATTGTAATAATATTTCACAATATTACAGTTTTAACAGTATTTTTGATCAAATAATTGCAGACTAGGTGAGCATAAGAGACTTCTTTCAAAAACATTTTAAAAAATCATAATATTTTCAAACTTTGACCAGTAGTTTAACGCTGATTTTTAAAGACTCCTCCCTGTGCTATATGTACACAGGTGTGTGCTCACTATAATAAAGGCACGGGCCTTTTTGGAGTCTGTACCTTTATGGAGTGCTGCACTAAGGTGCACATTTGTCAGCACTTTGTGCAAGACGACTGCCTGTTCGGCCCCAAGTGCAAACGGCTGCACAGTTTCGACGAGCACAGCCGCAGGATGTTGGAGGAGCGTGGTCTCGGTGGTGACATCATCCATGACCTGCCCTACATCTATCAGAATGTTTATCGTCTCAACTCACAAACTATAAGCAGTGGTAAGGGCACTTATATTCATTTACACATATATACAGTAATTCATATTATACATACATATTCATATACATTTCAGAACTCATATCTGATCAAGGCGTCACACCGGCTGCTCAGATGGAGAAGAATGAAATGTCTCCACTTCATAAGACGGAAATGCAAGTTTCAGGGTTGGTGTCCATTTCAGCAACTCACAAACTATAAGCAGTGGTAAGGGCACTTATATTCATTTACACCTATATACAGTAATTCATATTATACATACATATTCATATACATTTCAGAACTCATATCTGATCAAGGCGTCACACCGGCTGCTCAGATGGAGAAGAATGAAATCTGTCTCCACTTCATAAGACGGAAATGCAAGTTTCAGGGTTGGTGTCCATTTCATCCACGTTCAATCTCATTTTCTTTAAGCCATTTACATTAGATTTAAGTTATAATGGTTTTGTTTATTGCTTCAGACCAGTGCGTTCTTGTCCACTTTAATCTTCCATACAAATGGGAGGTTAATGACGGGAAAGGCTGGAGGGATTTAAGAAACATGGAGGAAATAGAGAGAGCTTACTGTGACCCAAAGAATGAACACAGGTCAGTACAAATGCACATGCAAGTGCTTGCTTACCATTTTTTCTTTTGTCCTTTCTTTTTCTTTTTTAATTTAATTTAATTTATTGCTTTTTAAGGGCTTTCTGTATTTTTATTTTTTTTAATTGAATAACAAAAAAGTATCAGATAATAACAAAATTGATTGTATATGGCATTAGCTGTGCTAAAATGTTCCAGATCATCAGCGGATCATCAGCAGATCTTCCCTATTCTATCCTTTCCAGTGGGATTTTAGTATCATTGAGATACTAGTTTTTGTTTTTATATATTCTTTTCCATTTTAGTTAAAGTTTGAATAATTTTGTTATGTGTTTCATCATTTTTAATAGTATTTTTATATGTCTAGTTTTATTAATTTTTATTTTAGTTAAAGTAAATGAAAATGAGAAAGGTTGCCTTGGCAACTAGCTGAAATAAAATGTATATTCTAATATATTTCAGAAAAAGTTTGTTATTTCAAGTATCAAAAGTTTATTATATAGTTTTAGTTCACTATAATAACCCTGCTAGCTTCTCTTGGATTCAGTCCAGGCTCGAGACCGGTGGATTTTGTGTCCATGACCAGGAACCATGACCCTGTGCGCCGACTCTCAACGGTCTCTTCCATCTCTAAACCCGCCCACTACATCCTGACAACAGAGTGGATTTGGTACTACAAAGGAGATCAGGAGAACTGGATAGAGTACGGTCAACCGGTGAGACTGGATTGCAAACATAGTGTATATACTCTCAGCTGAGAGGAATTTAAGGTCAGGTTTTGTTTCAATATCATTTTTCTTTAGGATGACAAGCAACGTGTGACGTCTGTAACGTCGCGAGAGCTGGAGAAAGCATTTCAGGAGGACAGCAATGCAGAAGTTACTCTTATTAAGGGGAATAGGCATTACTATGTCAGTTTCCAAGGTACTACACACCTTCATATCTGCTATATGTATAACAGAACTCCTGCAGTCTTTGAAAATATTATTTTATATTATATTATTTGTAAGCATTTGACTGTTCTAATTTTACAGATATGTATCAAAGAAACCCCAAACACAACACAAAGAGGAGGATGCGCAGGCGACCACGCTTTGTGTCTATCAATGAGGTGGAGGCTAAAGCTGTGTGACTGACCAAACACACAAACACATTCAGATTATGAGTTACTGCTTTAGTTTTGTGTCACTTCTCAATTAATACATTGAGGAGATATATCCTCAATTTATCCTCAATATTTATCCAAATTGATCCTCAATTTGTGTCTATATGTGTGTGTGTGTGTGTATATATACAGTATATATATATATATATATATACATATATATATATATATATACACACACATATATATATACAGTGCTGCTTGAAAGTTTGTGAACCCTTTAGAATTTTCTATATTTCTGCATAAATATGACCCAAATCTTCATCAGATTTTCCTGAAAGTAGTGAAAAGAAAGTCCTGAAAGTAGACAAAAAGAACCCAGTCAAGCAAATGAGACAAACATATTTTCTTTGTCATTAATTTATTCAGGTGAATGATCCAATATGTGAGTGGCAAAAGTATGTGAAGCTCTAGGATTAGCAGTTAATTTGAAGGAGAAATTAGAGTCCATCTGTTCAGAGGTGTTTTCAATCAGTATGATATCTATGAGATGTCAGTGGATGCCCTGTTCTGTTTGAAATCTATCAAAGTTTGATCATGTTTGTGGAAGTTTATCATGACACAAACAAAGGAGATTTCTGAGGACCTCAGAAAAAGAGCTGTTGTTGCTCATCAGACTGGAAAAGGTTACAAAACCATCTCTAAAGAATTTGGACTCCATAAATCCAGTCAGACAGACTGTGTACAAATGGAGGAAATTCAAGACAATTGCCAGCCACCCTCATCAGGAGTGGTCGACCAACAAAGATCTCTAAAAGCAAGACGTGTAATAGTCTGCGAAGTCACAAAGGATTCCAGGGTAACGTCTGAGCAACTAAAGGTCTTTCTCACATTGGTTGATGTTAATATTCACGAGTCCATCATCAGGAGAACACTGAACAACCATGGTGTGCATGGCAGAGTTGCAAGGAGAAAGCCACTGCTCTCCAAATAGAATATTGCTGCCCGTCTGCAGTTTGCTAAAGATCATGTGGACAAGCCAGAGGAATATTGAAGAAATATTTTGTGGACAGATGAGACAAAAATATAACTTTTTGGTTGAAATGAGAAACGTTATGTTTGAAGAAAAGAAAAACACTGCATTCCAGCATTAAAAACCTTATCCCAATTATGAAATATGGTGGTGGTAGTATCATGGTTTGTGTCTGTTTTGCTGCATCTGGGCCAGAACAGCTTGCCATCTATGAAATAATGAATTCTGAATTATGTTCTATTATTTCATCTATGAAATAATACATTTTTTTTCAGTTCTGCAAGAAATAATAATTCCAGTAAGCACCAAGGATTTAATTTTGATTAATTTGACCTCTAATAAATCTTTAAATAAATCAGGAATCTTTGAATTCTGGTATGTTAAAGAGAATATTTTCTTTGCTAAGTGTTGAGGGATGTGCCCAATATAATATATGATAATAATTTTTATATTATTGCATTACTTATAAAAAGAACCATGTTGTTAGTAATAAAACTGTCATAATTATGTTTTGGCATTTTGATTATCATGGATAAAATATAGTTACTCTAGTAAAACCATGCTTCATTTTAGTAAGGGGCATAAATATGTTACCTTGTCAAAAGCGTTTTTTTTTTCAGTAACAACGATATAGTTACATTAAAAGTCCGTCAGAACACCAACCAAAATCGCAAGGAGGTAACCATAACAACAGTTTCTCGATCACTGTAACGTATGGTACGTCAACAAAAGCTAAGTATTTATTAAGTTATTATAGACATATGTAGCACAAATATATCTCAATAAAGTTTGTTATTGTTTTGTTTAAACGTGTTTAAAATGATGGTTAAGCTGACGGTTAACTATGTTAGAGGCGCCAAAAAAAGAATCGACGCTCGCCCAGAAAATTACCAACAAAACTCATGACCCTTCAGAAAGTATTAAATAAATATAAAGAAATAATGCACAATGCTTTATGATGTCTACGCCCAAGTCCTTAGTATTTCCACAAGGGAAAATGTTATAGCTTAAAATATTCCCAGCGTTACTCGTCGAAACTGCATTTTTACTAGTTACAATTACAATTAGAGAGCTCTACAATTAAATTCTTACTAGTAGCAATTCAATTAGAGAGCTCTTTAATTCCAATTAAACACATCTTTAATGTGTTTTTTTTTTACTAGTAAAAATTTAATTATAGAACTCTGTAATTGCATTTTTACTAGTAAGAATTCAATTCGAGAGCTCTGTAATCGGAATTGTTACAAGTAATAATTGAATTAGACAGCTCACTAATTGTAATTCTTATGAGTAAAAATTTAGTTGCAGAGCTCTACAATTAAAAATGAATGGAAGTCAATGGAGACACATGACTAGTAAAAAATCATGTGTAGAGTTCTCTAATTGGAATTGTTACTAGTAAGAATTGAATTAGCCCATAGAGCTCTGTAATTGGAATTCATTCTTACTAATAATTGAATTAGAGAGCTCTAATCATAGTGGTTACTACTAGTAAGAATTGAATTGGCCCATAGAGCTCTGTAATTGGAATTCATTCTTACTAATAATTGAATTAGAGAGCTCTAATCATAGTGGTTACTACTAGTAAGAATTGAATTGGCCCATAGAGCTCTGTAATTGGAATTCATTCTTACTAATAATTGAATTAGAGAGCTCTAATCATAGTGGTTACTACTAGTAAGAATTGAATTGGCCCATAGAGCTCTGTAATTGGAATTCATTCTTACTAATAATTGAATTAGAGAGCTCTAATCATAGTGGTTACTACTAGTAAGAATTGAATTGGCCCATAGAGCTCTGTAATTGGAATTCATTCTTACTAATAATTGAATTAGAGAGCTCTAATCATAGTGGTTACTACTAGTAAGAATTGAATTGGCCCATAGAGCTCTGTAATTGGAATTCATTCTTACTAATAATTGAATTAGAGAGCTCTAATCATAGTGGTTACTACTAGTAAGAATTGAATTGGCCCATAGAGCTCTGTAATTGGAATTCATTCTTACTAATAATTGAATTAGAGAGCTCTAATCATAGTGGTTACTACTAGTAAGAATTGAATTGGCCCATAGAGCTCTGTAATTGGAATTCATTCTTACTAATAATTGAATTAGAGAGCTCTAATCATAGTGGTTACTACTAGTAAGAATTGAATTGGCCCATAGAGCTCTGTAATTGGAATTCATTCTTACTAATAATTGAATTAGAGAGCTCTAATCATAGTGGTTACTACTAGTAAGAATTGAATTGGCCCATAGAGCTCTGTAATTGGAATTCATTCTTACTAATAATTGAATTAGAGAGCTCTAATCATAGTGGTTACTACTAGTAAGAATTGAATTGGCCCATAGAGCTCTGTAATTGGAATTCATTCTTACTAATAATTGAATTAGAGAGCTCTAATCATAGTGGTTACTACTAGTAAGAATTGAATTGGCCCATAGAGCTCTGTAATTGGAATTCATTCTTACTAATAATTGAATTAGAGAGCTCTAATCATAGTGGTTACTACTAGTAAGAATTGAATTGGCCCATAGAGCTCTGTAATTGGAATTCATTCTTACTAATAATTGAATTAGAGAGCTCTAATCATAGTGGTTACTACTAGTAAGAATTGAATTGGCCCATAGAGCTCTGTAATTGGAATTCATTCTTACTAATAATTGAATTAGAGAGCTCTAATCATAGTGGTTACTACTAGTAAGAATTGAATTGGCCCATAGAGCTCTGTAATTGGAATTCATTCTTACTAATAATTGAATTAGAGAGCTCTAATCATAGTGGTTACTACTAGTAAGAATTGAATTGGCCCATAGAGCTCTGTAATTGGAATTCATTCTTACTAATAATTGAATTAGAGAGCTCTAATCATAGTGGTTACTACTAGTAAGAATTGAATTGGCCCATAGAGCTCTGTAATTGGAATTCATTCTTACTAATAATTGAATTAGAGAGCTCTAATCATAGTGGTTACTACTAGTAAGAATTGAATTGGCCCATAGAGCTCTGTAATTGGAATTCATTCTTACTAATAATTGAATTAGAGAGCTCTAATCATAGTGGTTACTACTAGTAAGAATTGAATTGGCCCATAGAGCTCTGTAATTGGAATTCATTCTTACTAATAATTGAATTAGAGAGCTCTAATCATAGTGGTTACTACTAGTAAGAATTGAATTGTAGAGCTCTCTGATTGAATTGTTACTAGTAAAAAAAATATTATGACAAGTTACGCGGGGAATATTTTAAACTAAACCGGCTTGCCATAATTGCGCTTATTTAATACGTTTTTTATGAATAAATCCAAGGGGCGGGGCTTTGCCGCAGATATCGATGAGGCGTATTTCTCCTCCATCCATGGAGTGTTTTATGCCGTAGAGATGGACATGCGCTGCCAACAATATCTTGTAGAAGCGGCTCGCGTATTTATTTAAGCGGTGCAATTTGTCCAGTGTGTTTGGAGGAGATGGGATCTTAGGAAATGGGTCGTGCATGGGAACAGCAAGACCGTTATAACTGCACAATTATATCTACACCGGATACCGGGAAATGAGCCACACGCGAGCAACGAACTGGATACCATCTACACGAGGAGCTGTCAGCATAAATATATGATGTGTTTCATCTGATTTGATCCCTTGCTTTGATTGCATCGATATTCTCTATGTATGGCCGTTCTTTCATCATGATATCGGGTGTGTAAAGGGGCGCGCGCGTGAGCCGCATCCGCGCGAGGTGCATCTCAACATGGCAGGTAACGAAAATGACTCTGTACGGTGCCATTCACCTTCTGTATCTTTGCATGTCGATACCAGTTTAAAAATACGGTAAATGTGTGACACATGAGCTGCGTCTTGGGAGATCCCGCCGGTATGTGCGTCTGAAGATGCTAGTTTTCCATTTTTGACCCTGTGCATGCGCTTAGTCTGTTCCTACACCCGCCCTTTTCCATCTGTACCGCTATTTATCTGCTTCAGATCACACCCGTTACCGCTGTACCTGTCTGACAAGATGCGCGCGGTATTAACCTCACGGGAGCCCTGGGCCGCGCGCGCTGATGATCTGTCATTCTAACCTACATTCTCACAGTGTGGATAGTGACTTTACGGCGTTATAGGTTTGCATGGTATCGATGAAAACATACACGCTAGGGGTGTATGGACAGATAGATAGTAGAACTGTATAGACTGTAAAAAAGATTTTTCTAATTTATTTTTAATTAGTTGTGAAATTTAGCAAATTCTGATAGAAAATTATTTCACTACCATTTTTTCAGTAGATAGATAGATAGAATGTATAAATGAGTTTACTATTAATTATTTGTGAAAATTGTGTCTACCGCTTTTTAAAGATAGATAGACAAACATAGATAGATTTTTTGCTTTTGGTAGATAGAAAGTTTGCTTTTAGCGATGTTTGGATATTTTATTGTTTTTGGAAGATTAAAAAAATTATGAATGTAAACAGTTCAAGTTCATATTGATATTCACAGACCATTGATTGCAGACTTTGGGATCTTGATCCAACTGGACACAGTTTAAGGCATTTCTGAGATCTTTTTTGTAACTACCGGTATTGACTCTGTGGTGTGGAGAAACATCTTCAGCCATTTGCTCTGGATTCTTCTTGTCTATACACTCTAAAAAATGCTGGGTTAAATATAACCCAGCGCTGAGTTAAAAAGGGACAGACCCAGCTATTGGGTTGTTTTGACACCGCTGGGTCAAAACAACCCTAATAGCTGGGTTTGTCCCTTTTTAACCCAGCACTGGGTTATATTTAACCCAGCATTTTTTAGAGTGTAGGAAGACTGCAAAATATAAAATAAACAGTATTTACAACATATTACCCAAGATAATAGATAAACAGTAGGCTACATCATACTGATAAGTGGCAACAATGGAACCTAAAAACCTACAGTATATATACATATATATATATATATGTCATTTTTGAATTAAACTGATTGATTGATGGAGGATGATGGTGATGCCTTCAATTCATCCTACATAATGCTCTGAACTAAAGAAATTTAGTCACATTAGCCATGTGAAATTTAGCTTTACTCTCTAACAGATTATGTGTTTCTTCTTCTCACAGCAACGTATAGAAAAGGAAGGATATCAAGCGGGAAGACCTGTGGCTATCCAGGGGACATTTTATCAGGGTCAGATGGCCTGTCTTGAATAAGAAACGTGCAAAAATGGAGAGCTCCTGTTCAAGGATGGCCCTGAGGAGCTCGCTGCGACTGCTCGGATGTTGTGCGCTTTTGCTCGCAGCTGCGATGTTGGTGGGCTTCATGGCGAGGGCTTTCACACCCGTTGCAGGTATCTCATCACAGAGTGCACTAAAAGTTTGGCTTTAGACTGGTACTTTTGCTTTTTTGTCACTTCCGTCACATTTCATTTAGTTTCTGTGGACCTATTGTGAGTCAGTATCATAAAAAGCGAGTCTTTTTCATCACAGATGATTTGAACGTCAGAGGAACGGTGGGCGTATGTACGAGTCTCTTTGTGTCAATGACGTCTTTCGCAGTTAGAGGTGAAGAATGAATGGGATTCACAGTCAATTGTATTGAGATGTGTGTGAGACAGATTCGACATTGAAGAAAGCACATATCTGCCCACAGAGTGAATTCTTAAAATTATATTTCCTTGAAATTACATGCTGACGATACAGATCAGAAATGGTCAGTTTTTAGTTCTTGATTGGCACAAAGAACCTTTAACATTCATAGAACCTTTCCATTCCATAAAAGGTTCTTTAAGATGAAAAAGGGTTCTTTAAATATTTAAAAAATGTAATTAATTAAATAAAATTAAATAAATAAATAAAATTCTTACTCAGTCTTTTTGTCTTGTTTTCCAGTACAAATATCTAAACATTCTTAGATCAAGATATATTTAAGAAACAAAATAGCCTAAGATACGGAAGTTCTAAGCGGCCATGCATTATTTATTTTTTTCCTTCTTGTTTTCTCGTTATAACGACTTATTTTCTCGTTATATCGACATAACGAGAGTTGTTTTCTCGTTATAACGACTTATTTTCTCGTTATATCGACATAACGAGAGTTGTTTTCTCGTTATAACGACTTAATTTTCTCGTTATATCGTTATGTCGAGATCACGAGAAAATTAAGTCGTTATAACGAGAAAACAACTCTCGTTATGTCGATATAACGAGAAAATTAAGTCGTTATAACGAGAAAACAACTCTCGTTATGTCGATATAACGAGAAAATAAGTCGTTATAACGAGAAAACAACTCTCGTTATGTCGATATAACGAGAAAATAAGTCGTTATAACGAGAAAACAACTCTCGTTATGTCGATATAACGAGAAAATAAGTCGTTATAACGAGAAAACGAGAAGGAAAAAAAAATAATGCATGGCCGCTTAGAACTTCCGTACTAAGATATTAAGTGTTGCTTTCTTGGAAAAAAAATATAAAAATTAAGTGAGTTTAAGCTTTAAACAACAAAAGTTGGGGAAATTTAATTCAAAGGATCTTTTCATAAAATCATTCAATTTTTATAATTAGTTAATAGTTATATGAATAATAAAATATTAAATAGGTATATAAATAATTTAACTACACATTCACATCTTCACTGTTCTCTGATGTCAATGATAATAATAATAATTAGTAGTAGTAGTATTTTAACTCTAATTATAAAAAATAAAGACAGAAATGTATTACTGTTGTAAATTACAATTGTACTGTAAAATAAAAAATATTTGATAATTATAATAATGAAATGTGACTAGAGTTATTTAATTAGACTATACTGTTACTTGATTAAATTGCTGCCTTTGATTTGATAACTGCAATAAACGAATAATCACACAGCCCCATTTATTTTATTTAATATATTTATTTTAATTATTATTCTTACCAGACCTATTAGAGACTATGTCTAAGCCACTATATTTTAATATTTTTATTAAAATATTATATTATATAAATACTAAAATACTAATACTTACTAAAATATGAATTTTACATTTAGCTTTTTTCAACTTATGAACCTCCGTTTAGGAAACCCTGCTGTAGATTATTAAAATGTTCTTTACAAAAAGAAAAAATGGTTCTTTTAAGAACCGTTCACTGAAAGGTTCTTTGAGGAACCCAAAATGGTTCTTTTAAGACAGAAAAACCCCTTTTAGAAGCTTTATTTTTAAGATAGTTGCTCAGTAACTGGAGACAGCAGGCTGATTACCTTGAGTTTACGCTGGTTACACATCACCGTAAGATACACACACACACACAACCCAGACAGATGGATGAGAGTGTCTCAACACTCTCTGAAAGGGAAGATGCAACGTTCAAACGCACACCCACTTCATCAGACACACACACACACATAGTCGGAAAGGATGGGGGTTCACTAGGAGTCACACACCCCGTGAGCCCACAGCTGTGATGGAAATGTGTCCTATGGTGCAACAAGTCCCCCAGTAAATCCATTGATCTTGCGTTGAGGTGTGGAGTCTCTCTCACACACACAATCTTTCTCTTTCTGTGGCTCTGCGGTATCTGATGGTCGGCATTGATGACTGGATTTGGGAAAATCAAAGCTAAGTGGACTTCGGTCTGTAATAATGTGCTGCTATTCATAGACGCTGTTTCTCCTCTGTTTTCTCCTTTATGCCTGGGAATCTGTGTCAGTGGAATCGGCGTACATGTGTACGTGCCCGCGTGAGAAAAGCCTGTGTGCTCTCTCTGCTGCGTCTGTAGCATACTGATGAAGCGGTCGGCGTGTGACATACTCCTGCAACACACACATGCATCACGCAACATCACCATGGAAACACCTCGCCTGACCACGCCACAGAGCCATTCATAGGACTCATGTGTGTGTGTGTGTGTGTGTGACAGGGTCTCACTTTCCCCCTGTGTGAAGTTGTGTTCTCTGTTGGGATGCTCTGACAGTTAACTGAGTCTGAAGTTAATTACTGAAGTTCTTTCATATGTCGTTCCCCAGAGTGGTTCGTCCCGCGGTTTCAACACGCATACATTAGAGCCTTCATAGACGATATGATGTACATGACTAGATTCAAAAGGGACAATTTATCCAAAATGTAAAATTCTGTCATTATTTACTCGCTCTCATGTAGTTCCAAACCAGTTGGACTATTTTTTTTATGCAAAAGAAAATATTTGACCGTTTTATTTGTCCATGTAATGAAAGTCAATGGGGTGCAATGTTTTCTGGACCTCAACATTCTTCAGAATAGCATCTTATATGTGTTTCTCTTACATTCTTTATTTAAACTTACTTAAAAAGAAGTGTAGATATGTAATGTAATGAAGTTCCAAAAGCTTGCTTTACAAATGATAGTGAAATTAACACATAAATACAATCAAACACAGTGCTGTTTAAGTGTCATTGAGATGCTATAGATTTATTAACATTTTTTTATTAAAATTTTTATTCTTTTTTTCAACATCTATATGTTTTCATTTTTATTTCAGTTTTAGTCAATTTAGTTAAAGTAAATGTAAATGAGAAACTATCTGAAACTATGTTCAAGTGTTTTTAATATTTTATTTCAGTAAATTTTTTAATGGTTTTAGTTTAGTTAAAGGGATAGTTCACCCAAAAATGAAAATTCTGTCATTAATTACTCATCCTCGTGTCGTTCCAAACCTGTAAGACCTTCGTTCATCTTGAGAACACAAATTCAGATCTTTTTGATGAAATCCGAGAGCTTTCTGACACTGCATAGACAGCAACACAACTGACATGTTTTATGACCCAGAAAGGTAGTAAGGACATCGTTAAAATAGTCCATGTGACATCAGTAGTTCAACCTCAATGTTATGAAGCTACGAGAATACTTTTTGTGTGCAAAGAAAACAAAAACAATTTTATTTAACAATTTATTCTCTTCTGTGACAGTCTTCGACGCGCTTACTACCTTTCTGGGCCTTGAACGTTTCAGTTGCTTTGATGTCTATGCAGGGTCAGAATGCTCTCGGATTTCATCAAAAATATCTTAATTTATGAAGCTATGAGAATACTTTTTGTGCGCAAAGAAAACACCCCTTTGTGTTCTCATAGGAAACACATACTGTATTAGCTAGCAACGTTTGATATCTGATGATTGGCACACAGCTCCAGAAATATTTATTTTATTCGAGCAGTTAGTGTCACTATGACTCACAAAACAGACGGATTGCTATTTTCGAAAAGTGTTTTTTTAACAAGATGAACAACTTGATATTTGGCCTGAGGAAACATGACAGGGCATGTCTATGTCTGGCGCTGTCTGGTAGTACCATGAAGTTTGAAGCTGTTCGACTTCAGTTTGCAGTGATGGAGGACGTCTGTCTAAAAAGTAAAAGTCCATATTTGATACTGTACAGTGTATGTGACGTTGACTTCCTCTTTCTCCCTCCGTGCCCTCAGCTAGTATGACACACTGGCCTACTAATGTCGCTCAGCTGTGCTGTACTCCCCTGCTCCCCCACAGTGTGCCGTTCAATCAGCCTCATTACCCACAAACCCTCTGTTCTACCCTCAGCGGCCCAAAATGCAGATGAATCACAGTCACATTAATAAAAGTGCAGCTTTCATAGCCAGCCTCAGTACCATATGGCTCTTTGAAATAAAAAATAGTCATTTTAAGAGTCAACAGTGTCACATTTATTGTTATAGTAAGACTTATGTTATGAGTTTTCGTTTGCTGTTGTATCAGTCCATGCAAAACCATAATAGGATCATGATTTTTAGGAAACAGTGCCATTTGTGTCTGAAAATGGAAATTATTGTTTTGTGCACTTTCAAGAACCAGATCCGTAACCTCCATAGTCACTGACCACCAGAGGGCGGTGTGCGTGCTAATATTCAGATTATGGTTTTTTCTCTTAAATGGTTGATTCCTAAATCATCACCTCCAATCCTAAATATGTGGTTACTGTATATTTTTTTGTAACCAGTGTTAGTATTGTTATATACTCTTATGTATATGTATATATATATATAGAAGCTTTTATTTCTATATTTTCAGTTTTCTTTTTAATTTTAGTTTTTATGTGATGTGCTTTTGTCACTTTTTTTTGTTTTTATTTAGTATTTTTATATAGCTTTAATTATTTTTTTTATTTCAGTTTGAACTTGCTTTAACTTAAACTTCTTTATTTCAGTTAGTTGCCAAGGTAATAATTTGAAAAACGGTGAAGTTTTTTCATCTAATATTTATATTTCAGCTTTAATTCAATTACCAAAAGTGATTTTTAATAGTTTTACTTAATAGTTTACTTTTAATAGTTGTTACTGTTTGTTAAGAATAACTTGGTTTGTTACTGACATATACTTTGTTTATATAGTATATTTATATAATTTATTCAACGTCATTAACCTCCAGCCTAATAATTCACATTATTCTAACCCCATACAGTAAGTCTGGAATTCACATAATGTAAATATATAATAAGTAAGCTTCGTGAGGTCAATATAAACATCATATCACTTGCTTAAATATGATGCAATATTATAAAGGTGCTTTTAAAATCCATATGTTTATATTTTTATAATAATAATAATTAGTAGTAGTAGTTTTAGCAAATTAAAATAAATATTTAGATTTTATTATTATATATTTAGTATTATTTATTTATTTTTTCCCTCTATTTTTTTTCTTTTTGCATTACACTAAATAGAGCTGTAAGTCATGGATCATGGGAACACAAATAGTTTTCTGAAAATTACCCAATATTTGTTAAAAAAGCTACAGCTTTCAAAAGCCCTGATTTTGCTCAGGGAACCTATTCATATTATGTAGATTTAGATTGACTGATTTAGATCAGTTTTGGATTGATTTAGATAAATGGTTTTAGATCAAAAGTTTAAAGGTGTCATATGATGTTGCTAAAAAAGAACATTATTTTGTGTATTTGGTGTAATGAAATGTGTTTATGCGGTTTAAGGTTCAAAAAACACATTATTTTCCACATACTGTACATTATTGTTTCTCCTCTATGCCCCGCCTTTCTGAAACGCATCGATTTTTACAAAGCTCATCGTTCTGAAAAGCGAGGTGTGCTGTGATTGGCCAGCTATCCAGTATGTTGTGATTGGCTGAATACCTCAAGCGTGTGACGGAAATGTTACGCCCCTTACCATACTGTGATGCCGTGTCCCGGAGCGACGAGACAAAACCAATAAAACCCATTATAAATGAGGCATTTGTTGCATCCAGTGGGGACATAATTACTGATTATAATGACTTATATTCAGCTTTAATTCAATTACCAAAAGTGATTTTTAATAGTTTTACTTAATAGTTTACTTTTAATAGTTGTTACTGTTTGTTAAGAATAACTTGGTTTGTTACTGACATATACTTTGTTTATATAGTATATTTATATAATTTATTCAACGTCATTAACCTCCAGCCTAATAATTCACATTATTCTAACCCCATACAGTAAGTCTGGAATTCACATAATGTAAATATATAATAAGTAAGCTTCGTGAGGTCAATATAAACATCATATCACTTGCTTAAATATGATGCAATATTATAAAGGTGCTTTTAAAATCCATATGTTTATATTTTTATAATAATAATAATTAGTAGTAGTAGTTTTAGCAAATTAAAATAAATATTTAGATTTTATTATTATATATTTAGTATTATTTATTTATTTTTTCCCTCTATTTTTTTTCTTTTTGCATTACACTAAATAGAGCTGTAAGTCATGGATCATGGGAACACAAATAGTTTTCTGAAAATTACCCAATATTTGTTAAAAAAGCTACAGCTTTCAAAAGCCCTGATTTTGCTCAGGGAACCTATTCATATTATGTAGATTTAGATTGACTGATTTAGATCAGTTTTGGATTGATTTAGATAAATGGTTTTAGATCAAAAGTTTAAAGGTGTCATATGATGTTGCTAAAAAAGAACATTATTTTGTGTATTTGGTGTAATGAAATGTGTTTATGCGGTTTAAGGTTCAAAAAACACATTATTTTCCACATACTGTACATTATTGTTTCTCCTCTATGCCCCGCCTTTCTGAAACGCATCGATTTTTACAAAGCTCATCGTTCTGAAAAGCGAGGTGTGCTGTGATTGGCCAGCTATCCAGTATGTTGTGATTGGCTGAATACCTCAAGCGTGTGACGGAAATGTTACGCCCCTTACCATACTGTGATGCCGTGTCCCGGAGCGACGAGACAAAACCAATAAAACCCATTATAAATGAGGCATTTGTTGCATCCAGTGGGGACATAATTACTGATTATAATGACTTATACTGTCTTTTTACACGTTGCCTTGCATCGCACCACGTAAACATAAAACCATGTCTGCATTTGTGATCGGAGAAACGACAAACAACAAGCGCTACTCTACACTGCTAAAAACTCGGGTTTGAATCATCAGTGGCAAATCCTTTAAATATGAAAGCGTACTTATAGGCTATGAGTCAGAACAGCCGGCATTGTAGTTACTCTCCCAGGAAACAGTCCTTGTCCTCTGTAAAATGCATTGCTCACATCTGAATATTTGGGTTGAACTGTTCTGGAACAGTGTTGTAAATACAGCTTAACCACTGTTGTGTCCTCTTTTGGAAGGCCAAACAAAGTAATTTCGCTTTCACAACGAAACACACAGCGTCTTCACAACATGGCAGTGACGGCAATAGCGAGAATCAAAGTTACGCCTTCTTTCTTTGCGTGAAAATTTGGGTGGTGTTATGCAGATCTTCCCACACAAAACGTCTTAGTCTTTGCAACTTTAGGGATCTTATCTATGCACAAACAGCTTGTAACACTCCAAAGAGAAAGGAAAACTTGAAATCGCATCATATGACCCCTTTAATACTCGTCCACAGAACTAGTTCCCATAGAGATGTTATTAAAAATGACTGTGTCTTGGGTACAGTCTGGGCTTTCTCCAGTACTGTGTATTTACAATCTGTCCTTCTGCTGCAAATATTGAATTTCTTGTGGTTTGGTTGTGTGCCATCCTGCAGCACACTCATGCTTTCCTTTTGTTTCCTTTCCTAAGTGGAGCTCCCATCCAACATGTCCAGAAGGAGCCTCAATCAACTTCCAACAAGACCACGTTCACCTCCTGCCTTATCGTCATCATCATCATCTTCTTCCTCATCTCCTCATCACTCTGAAAGAACCAGACATCCAGCTCATACGCCTCCAGGTGCCAAATATCCCTCATCCCCTGGTCACCATGACAGTGCCTCCAGCATAGATCCCACCCCGTCCCTTGGTTCCGAAGGGTCGGGTAACCTAGGCGACGGGGCCCAGGGCATCCACCTGCTGTTACGGCCCCCAGACCTTCTAACGCCAAGCCAGATGCCTCCACTCCATGATGACAGACCGCCAACACCAGCCCCCCCGACCCTGGTGTCACCCGAAGACCTGTATCCTGTCCACTCCGCTGAGGTGGACTGGGGCTCCGGAGACTACCTTGAAACTCTTACTTTCATGGGATCAGAAGGGGAGGAGTTTTCTCTCGTCACCACCCTTCCTACGCATGGATACGATCCGTATGATACGGACGATGAGGCCACGGTCAGCTACAACACAGCTTTCCCCTCTCGTTCCATCCTGCCCCTCTCGTCCAGAGACCTCCAGCCCAGCGTGACTGTAAAATATGGGACTAACTTAAGGACGGCCCATCCTACTGATCCCCGCCTCCCATTAGCTCCTGACTCCGCCCATGTGATCGATATGGACGATGATTTGGATTTCGATTGGGCGGAGCTTTTTCCCATTGAGCCAACTGAAATGCTGCTTCCCGATATGAACAGTTTGGAATACTACAACACGTTGCAAGCCAAAGAGAATGCTAGTATTGCGAGGAATAGGACGCACCCTCATATTACCCCAACACACACTGTGGGACCCACTCAAACTCCCACTGCATTGGGAAAAGTCCCGGACAAAATCGAACGGACGATTCCTCAACCTATTCCATCAGTAACCCCAGCTCCACCCCAAAAACCTACGAAGCCTCCCATCCCATCCACCACTGAGACCCAACAACCTCCTGAAGGCCCAGATAATGGTGTTCCTTCCATACCCACATCCCATGTGGGCAAAACCCGACCGCCAGTGCCAACCGCCCTGCCTCCACCCGGCACCTCAGAGGGTCCAGTAATACAAGCTGTGACGCTGAAGCCCCCTGCTACAAAACCCCGCATGACCACCATCAAAACCACCACCAGAACTACAACTACAATTAAAACCACGACTACCATGAGCCCCACCAGCCTCTCTACCAAAAGCCCACCACCTACAACCCCCAGAATTCCTCTGTCCATCGCACCCCGGCAGTACGTCTGCAATATCACCAAACCGGACATGTACCTAGTCAGAGTGGGTAAGACAATATACACAATAAATCGGTTATCATATCAGTTATTAACCGATATTAAGAGGTTTTTTTTAATTTATCATATTATTTATTATTATTGTGCACATTCATTTTCTTTATTTTTACATTTAGTTTTTATTATTTAAAAATTTTTAAAACCACTAATATGATTGATTTGTTTTAATGATTTATATTTAACAGTGTTAAATGTCATATTTATCATTTTTGTGATGGTTAAATTCTCTTGTAGATTTTAAAACAATTAATTTTAATTTTGATTTATTTATTTCTCATTATTTATTTTTTAATCTATCGATTTGTCGATCTATCTATTATCATTATTGAATACATTAATTTCCTCTAGTTAAAAAAAAACACTAATCATTTTAATTTAACACTTAATTTAATGTTGTGATGGCTAAATTCTTTAGAAAATTTTAAAAAGGTTTTATTTATTTAACTGTATTTTTTATTATGATTATTTGATTATTTTTATTATATATTTTTATATTATATATTTAGAATAAAAAATATATTTTTTTAATTAAATATATTTTTATCATCTCTTACAACCTTCTTGTCTGACTCTTGCAGGCATGCCTAGTGGGTCATCGGTGGCGTTTGCCAAAGCTCATGTGCGGGAGATTCTTCGACGAGAGTTCAACCGTTCAGTGGAGCTCCAGGTGAGTGTGTCAGATCACAGCAGATCACACATCAGCTGTTTATCTCAAGGATCACTGATCTCTATCTGTGCTATCCATCCAGGTCCTCAAAGCCCCACCCAATTTTATCTTCCGGGCAGTTTCCGGTCCACTTGTGTACACTGCTATCTCTGTCATTAATGCTGTCCGCCAATCAGTGCACACCACTTCCTCTTCTTCCATACTGTCCGTCACTACCATATATGCAGTGCCTGATTACAAACATCAGGTCCACACAGGTGAGAGAGACACAGTATAACCAGTAAATGGCATGCTAACATGTGGCTAACACGAAAAACTGAGCAATAATTATAAAATAAATAATGCACCTTTTATATAAATGTATAATATCATATATAAATATTATATTTATATTTTAAGAATGAGTGTTACATTAGTTAATTTGCCTTGCAGTGCTGCAGTTTGTACCGAGTCATGTGGATGTGCGTCTGTGTAGCTTCAGCGAGCGTGTGGAGAAGGGGCTACTCATGGCGTATGCGGAAGTACGCAAGCGTTCGCAAGAAAACGGAAATTTCACAGTTCATGTACGTAAATCATTTAGGGCAATTGGCAGAGGCACATTCAAAATAAAACTTTTGCACATTTTACATATCACTGTTCTTTCATGAAAGGCTTATTAACAAAAATATCCTCTATAATTCTGTGTATTTCATACATTTAAATAGTATTGATACTGTTGTATGATTGCTTGTCTAGATTGTGAATATCACTAGTAGCCTTCCTAAGGGTCAGCGGCAGTTGAAGGCACCGGTGGACATCACTTTTGCTGTGCGTGATTCCCAAGGCTTCCTAACAGGATCAGATGTGAGTGGTCACATGAGGCAGCTCAGCGCTGTGGAGTTCAGCTTCTACCTTGGTTTTCCTACCCTGCAGATCGCTGAACGTGAGTCACAAATACACACACAGGCTCTTTGTCTCAATATCTCATGAACTTTATTCATCACTCATTTTATCTTATTCTCATTTTTTGTCTTCCAGCTTTTCATTATCCTGAACTGAATGTGTCCCACCTGTTACGCACATCCTGGGTGAAAACAGGTATGTGGGTATGTTAGAAATGCCAAACAAACTGATTTTGAGATATAACAATAATTTTTTTGGAAGTCTAGTATTTTTCTTCTGTGATTTAGATTTTTTAAACCTTGGAATCCAGAGTAAACTATCTAGATGAACACTTTTTGATGTATTTTTGTTTGACCCATAATTATAATAATATGTATATAATATATTAATAGTTCTCACTTAGCTAAAATAGTTAGTACCATAAAAGAAAAATATTCATTAGTTATTATAAATATTAAGTAAGTAATATTATTTTTGAGGCGAGTTCTTATGTGAGATAAATATAATTTATAATAATTTTAATTTTTTTTAAATATAATTAATTAATATCATTATAATTAATTTTTCTTTGATTTATTTACGCCTTGTATTAAATTCAATATTATGATCTAATCTTTCTCATTCTAAGTCTGTTAATGGTACAGGCACTTATAAATGTTTATTTTACTAAAAGATGGCAGGTAGATTTACACCAGTCTAGAATTTATGATTATTACAATTTAGTCATACACGTTTCTAATGCTACTTTTTATAATGTCCATCTGTTCTAGTGTTACTGGGTGTGTTGGACCAGCGTGTGAATGAGAGGACCTTCCAGGCCAAAATGGAGAGGCGATTAGCATTGCTGGTTGGAGAGGGACTTGGGATCGGGGTTAGCAGTCGACGATGGAGAAGAGCTACTAGTATTGGCAACAACAGTGTACAGGTACATTCAAACACATTAGTGTACACAGTTTGTTTGTCTTTCCCACACATCACATTAGCACGAACCCTGGTGTGCCTCAGATTGTGCGAGTGTCCCGTCTGGATGGCCCGGACTACCCGCTGGAGCTGGTGTATTTTGTGGAAGCGGGGTCAGGAGAGAGGCTGCCAGCCCAGGCCACTGCGGCCATGCTCAACAGACTGAACCTGCTGAGAGCTGCCATCGTACTGGGCTACAGAGTACATGGAGTTCTGGCCACACGTGAGTCAAAGTTGTATCAACCAAAGGCCGTGACAAACCATACCGACATCAAAGAACTAGTGCCAATTAAAGAAGACTGTGATGTCGTCTTGCGTCGCATGCATCTGCTCAAAGAATTACACTTGAACACACCGCAAACTACATCCAACGGCCAATTAGAATGTACGTTCTGAGTCTATGTGAGAGGAAGTAACAAGTGGCAGTAGTCTATATTTATCATTCAGATAGGGAAAACAAAACTGGGACCTTAGCTAACAGGGAACATTCTGACAAGGTTCTTGCAAATTAATGAACTAAATTGTTTCCAGTAACTAATAGAACGTTTGTTCAAGGTTATCTGGTCTTTAATAAAGTTTTCAAAATGTTAGTACGAAAACATTATTTATATATCGTTCATGCAACATTTTTTTTCTGGACTGTTTTAGTTTGACATTCGGCTAACATTTTTTAAATGTAAAAAAAATATATATATATATATATATACTGTATATATATATATGTATATATATATTTTTTTTTTTCAAATGTTTTTAATGTTTCATTCCTTTAATGCTTGCAAAATTATCAAATTAAATGTTTTCTTAACATTAACGCATAACCAAGAAAAACGTTTTTAAAACATTAATTTAAAAAAAATTGACGTTTTGAACATTCAGATATAACGTTTTCAGAACTTAGTGGTAACGTTAGCAAAACATTAAGAGAACATTCAAAAGTAACATTCCCATAATATTTGCAGAAAGATGAAATGGAATGTTTCCTTAACGTTAACGCATAACCAAGACAAAACTGGACGTTTTGGACATTCAGAAATAAAGTTTTCAGAACTTAGTGGTATTGTTAGCAAAACGTTCCTAGAACATATTTATGTTAGCTGGGACTGTGGATATACAAATTGTAAATAAAGTACCACTTGCTTTCCATTTTGAATATGAATCATGCTGATCAGTTGGTCTTCACTTTCTTCATTTCAGACGTCCTTATAAAAATATTTGCGAAATGAAATGCTCAGGTAAAATGAAGATGTAAAGGTAGAAGAGCTTTCTGTGGGTGTCTTCTTGACTTTGTCGTTTACTTGCTTTGATAACTTAAATTTTTCTTCTTGTGCACTGGTTCACTAAATTGATCAGAGTGATCTCTCTCACTGTCTGCCCAACGCGATTCAACATGCTTAATCACCCAAAAAGCTGCCAACTGTGTCCGACTAGTGCCGATGGTGCGGGACACACCGCAAAAACTGGGCTGACAGACATTCAACGACTATGACTTTGACTGACCTGGTGTGTCACGGCCTTAAAAAAGTTGTGTATTTAAGGCACTTTTTAAGTAAGCAAATGTATGATCTTTTTTGTGCCAAATTTCACATTACTCTGTTTCAGCGGTGGAGAAGCTGGCCCTGCCGCCCTCCGAGACTCAGCCCAGCAACGTGTGGCTGATCGTTGGAGTTGTGGTCCCAGTTCTTGTGGTCATCCTCATCATCATCATCCTCTACTGGAAACTGTGCCGCTCTGAGAAGCTGGAGTTTCAACCAGACGCCATGAGCACCATCCAGCAGAGACAGAAGGTCGGGGTTACCGTGTGTGTGTGTGTGTGTGTGTGTGTGTGTGTGTCTGAGAAGTGTTGCCCACTCATAGACACTCCATGTGAATTGACTGCTCATTTTTACTCATCCATGTCAAGGGCCTTTATGGAAAAATGAGCTACTTTGCAACAGTCATTTTAGCTCGTTGTATCATATTTACTGTCCATTCATGTGTTTGTCATTTTAGTTGCAGCCTCCCAGTGTTAAAGGCTTTGATTTTGCTAAGCTACACCTGGGGCAGCATAGTAAGGATGATATCATGGTAATCCAAGAACCCGCCCCTTTACCGCCACCTGTTAAAGAGGCCACGCCCTCAGAGGGCGGAGAATTGAACACTCCAAAATCGAAGAGCTCATCTACAAAAGCATCCCGCGCAGCACGGAGAAGAGGCCGGTAAGGAACTGTCTGTGATCATGCGCCATGATGTTTGGATTGTGTGAGAGCAAATTCTGTTTATATCAATGTAATTTTAGTATTATTTATATAGTAGTTTGTGTAGCTTTTATTTTTATATTTTCAGTGTAATTGTAGTTGAATTTTTATTAATTTTATTATGTGCGATTGTTATTTTTATTCGTTTTTGTTTTATATTTTAAATACTGCTATTTAGGTTTTATTTTTATTTCAGTTTAAGTGATTATTTATTCCCATTTAGTAATTTTAAGCGCTTTAACTTAATTTCAATTTATTTCAGTTAGTTGCCAAGGCAAGGCATTCGTTTTCATCTTTATTTTCATATTCATACTTTAATTTTAGTTTTTGTTAACGATAAAATCCCTGGTTTATATGATTTTTTTTTTTAACTCACACATGTTTTTTTTTTTTTCAGATTGTCTCCATCTGATGGAGATTCATTAGGAAGCGAAGCATCCAGCGGTAGAGAATCAGCAGAAGAAAGCACCAGACCTGCTGTGACGCCAAGTGACAGCAAACCCCAACATCGCAAGAGCAAGCATGGTATTATACGACAAAAACACACTAATTTACTATATTATTATACTATATTAACTATTAATAATTAAAAGTATAATATAAAGTTGCTTCATAATGATTTGTATTGTGAAAAAAAACAATTATTAAAATTAACATAGTAATTGTAATAGTAATTATATATTTAATATAGTAATTTAAAATTATTAATATTATTATTAAAATAGTAATCAATTATTATTAAAATTATTATCATTATTATTACAATTATTGTTATTTAAAAAATTGCATCTCTTTCTCTCTTCCTCTTATTCCATCGGTTCATCAGCAAAAAACAAACTTGGTAAGTGTCTTTACCCATAGACATTTGTATATTGTTAGTTACAAATTTGTGACCTTTGACATCTGGCCTTGATGTTCAGGTGCTCAACCTGGAAGTGGTGTGGATGAGCAGTTGTCCTCGTCGTCCATATTTGAGCATGTGGACCGTCTGTCTCGAGGTTCATCAGATGGAACGCGCAGAGTGTCCAATAAGATACAGCTCATCGCCATGCAGCCCATGCCAAGCCCTCCCTCACATCCACATAACCAAGCCCTGAGTCCAAGCCTGACAGACAGGATGCCTGATGGAGCAAAGGTCAATAGTGAGGTTGGGAAACTCTTCTTCGCAAACACAAACTTGTTCGTAAATGACAGGCTCACATCTTAGACACACAGATGTGGCATTCACATGATGTCTACTATAATGAAAGATCTGTAAAAGCATTTTTTTGTGTTAAATCTTTATCCATCTGTGCTGTTTTTAATCACTGTGCTGTTTTTTAATTTATTTATTTATGACATATGTGAGATATGTATTTACAACACAAAATCAAAATGGTGAAAGTGGTGATGCAAGTACCACTAAAATATGTTCTACTATTTTCTGTAGCAATACAGAGATGTGTAGCTCAAAATACATCATTTTGGGGAAATACATCATTTTGGGGAAATACAGGAGAAAAATAACTTTAATAAAAAAAAATGAAATTACCTGAAAAATCCATTTAAAAATAAATACACCTAAAATAAATAGTCTATATGCATTTATATTGATAGATAGATAGATAGATAGATAGAAAATTATAAACTTTAAGCTACTTTTCCTATAACATCAAAATACACTATTTCGGATTGCCGAAGCATTGCAGTTCATGGCCGTACAATAAAGGTAATTTCTATAAATATAATGTATTTTAAATAATTTATTATTTGTATTAATTATTTTTAATAACTAAAATGTATATTTTTAATTTGTATATATTTATATAATGTACATTAAATTTAATTGTAAAATTTAATTGAAGTGTGTTCAAGTATAATCTGTGTTTATTTTTTTCAGAATTTTTGGTATTTTATGAATAATTTTTTGGGAGAGAAAAGCTTAATGTTTATAATGTTTATATCACCATAATGTGACATATTTCCCAGAGAAACAGAATATTCAGCAACAAATATTATTATATTTAATATTAAAATATAAAAATTTAATTTTTATGTCGTCTAAAAGAAAACATTCATAGCCAATTCTTCCAACTGACACAGATTCAAGTGGACTTGAGGCATAAATCTGAGATCGAACACCATCGCAATAAGATCCGCCTGCGTGCCAAGAGAAAGGGCCACTACGAGTTCCCCTCCATGGAGGACATCATGGCAGCGTTCGGCGACAGCTCCGAACAACAGCGAGTGTATCAACAAGCTCAGGAACAGATACACAAGATCCTGCATCCTGAAGAACACACACCTCCATCGTGCGGAGAGCCACGCAAAAGGTCAGGATGATAAATCTCACTTGTACTGTCTGCAAAACATCTAGAGTTTGCCATCCAGGAAAATGAATGCAATTTGTTTTTCAATTGCAGTTCCAAAGGAAGACGCTCTCCCAGACACAGACAAAGACAGCATTTGCGTGGAAGGGGAAGTCTGAGAGACAAAGATCGTCTCATTACTGATGGAGATGCCACATACAGGAAGTACCCCGGGGTCAACAATGTGGCCTATGTGGTAGGACACACACACATGCACATGCTTTCACTCAACTAAAACACAAACTCATCACTCCTCTTCCTGTAGTCTGATGTAGACCAGCTCCCAGATGCGGGCAGCCCTTCTCCTACTGATGAGGTGTTTTTAGACCCTGGATCACCTCCGTCAGGCCAAGCCCCTGCTCCGCCCTCCTACGTCCCCCCTCAGCCAACCATCGAAGAAGCCCGGCAACAGATGCACTCCTTATTGGATGACGCGTTTGCTCTCGTCTCGCCTTCTTCTCAAGGAAGCCCCGCTCCTCTAACATTCACTGGCGTTACAGCAGTCACTGGCGTCGGAGGAATCACCCCCGGTCAACCCTCCAGCCCATCCTCACGTCCTGCACGCCAATGGGGCTCCTCTTCTTACCCAGCAGCCCCTGCACACAGCCCTTTCTCTGCGGTGCGTGACTAAAAACATTTGAATGATGGAATCCAAGTTATGTGAAATTTCATTTAATTTCTCTCTGCTCTGTAGAGGTATGCAGAGTTAGGAATGTCTCCCACATCGGTCCAAGGTTTACTGCAAAGGTGAGGTGGATTCTGGAAGGTATTATGGAATAAACTAACAAGAAAAGTCAGGAGGAAGTTGAAAAAAGAACATGTAAACATGATAAAGAAGCACAATATTCCTGTTAAGCCAACAAAATAAGTTTGAGTACAGAAAAGCAAATATGCTGGCACATACGACTTTGTCTACTAGAGTTAATTATCCATCAGGTTCAGATATCATATTTACTCAGCAGATTGTATAATTTGACAGGCAGGCGCAGGGTTCTGGGTATGTTGTGTCAGCAGAGATGCAGTCAGATCCTGGATACTCCAGCAGGGGGCAGTATGGAGAAGATATGCCATCGTCTTCTCGGCCACGACCAGTAGGGGGCAGCACAGGTAAAGGTTTTTATTAGTAATTTATTGTGGCCCTGTTCCAAATAGCACCCTAAACCCTCACAGTCTTCCTCCAAGTCCACACTGAGTCGGGTAGAAGTCTGCTGCAGAGCCTCTCACCAGAAGTGTGCATCGAGGGTGCATAGCAATGGGGGCGCTTACAAGCATCCTTCTGAAAGCTAAAATTACGAATGGGGCACCCTACGGTCTCGTGGACTTAACAGACACGCGCATGCTGCGGTCATTGTAAGTCCGCTAGACCGCAAGTGCACATGAAGTGTGCCATTTGGGACAGGGCCAATGTGTGGTTTCAGTGCTACGATAATTGCTATGTGTTGTGTGTGTAGGTGCACAGTTGCATCAGCTGACACAAGTGGGCTTGTCAAGTCGGATTGGATTGTATCCTGGAGTTGGCCGTAGTGTATCTGGACCTTCAGGATCAAGCTGGGCCCAGTACCGCTCAGATGAGGAGATTTCCAGACCAGGATCCAACCGAGAGGCTGTAAATCAAACATGCACATTCATAATAGTGTATATCATAAAATATGGGATATTATAAAATCCCAAAATTGTACTATTGGTTTACTAAAGCATTGCATTCAAGAAAAGTAATGAAAAAATAAGTCAAAAAAACGTATAATGACAATAATGTGAATGAACAAGTAATAATGGCAATTACATAATTTAATTTGTTAAATTTAATTAAATTTTTAATTTGTTATTTCATATAAATGAAAAAGATAATTTGTTTCTTTCTTATATTTGTTCTACTGTTTTTTTTAGTTTTTTTGCATCTGTTCTTATTTATAATAAAGATAAAATAAAAATAGGTTTATTGTGATTATTAATATAGTAATTATTTTTAAGAAAAGGACTGGAGGAAAAGATGCAATGTTGCAGGTGATTTTGCTTTGGAACCTTCAGAAAACTTTAACTCCATTTTTCTCAAAATTGACTCTATTGACATCAAACGGGTGTAGCTCAGTCATTTTTCATCTGATTCCAACAAATCATACATCATTCTGAAGGTCTTTTAATGGAAAATGTGAACATAAAAATCACTCATTTTTGAAAATTTGCTAATTGTGACTCATTTTTCCAGCACAGAAAATTTATAGATTATATATATATATATATATATATATATATATATATATATATATTCGATATATTGCCTGTGTTCAGGCATAATCTGTATGTTTTTATTTTTTATTTTTCCTGAAATGTTAGCATTTATTCATTATTTCTCTCTCCCTTTCTGTTTCTCACAGATACTGACATTCCCAGAATACTCTTCATCACCAGTATTCCAGATGCCCAGGACGTCCCTGCAGGATCCCACAACACCCCAGGGTCACCTGGAAGCCTCGAGCGTGGGGTACATTGCCCCTGAGGAGCGTTCTCCACCCCCCCAGTCCTCGGCCTCTCTCATCAAGGCCATCAGGGAAGAACTCCAGAGACTTTCTCAGAAACAGGCTGCTGTTGTCAGCTACCAGAGTTGAGAAAGACCATCCCGAAACCCCAGTCCTGGTTAATCTCCCGATGTACCACATAAACAACCTCACAAATCCCAACACATCTCCATGGCTGAGAAGCTGCTTTACACAAAATCCGAAACCAAAATCTTCAAATTTAAGTACGGCTGGTCTGTTACATATGAAGAATTACTTTCAATCTTTCATACTTGTATTGCCAGGACATCCGCAATTGAAATTCCACTGCTGACATGCAGAAAATAAACTTAAATACTCTCTCCTATAATTCACAAAGAAAAAAACTCACCCCAAATATCATATCCAGACTGTTTAGAAAAATAGACAAAGTTTCCCCATATTCAGACTCTCAATTTGCATGCGGAGAGCTGTGAACCTTCAAGACTTCGTACTGACTGTTGCTAATGTGAAAATCCCTCCCCTTCAGTTCCATGTCTCTCAAAGTGCTTCCTCCAAATGGGTCATCTTCATGTCTCCGGACTTCCTCTGGTGCTAAACATCATTTCTGGCCTCCGCCACGATACCACAATTCAGCCCTGCCCAAAAACTCTGAAGTGGCGTCCTTTCCTTTTGTTCTCCCATTTATCCAAGACGGCTTATCAAGTGGAAACTTGCTCTGTTCCAACACCTAGTGAGCTGCTCGAGATGCGAAATTTGTTCCAAAGGTTAGCCAACTTAATTATGTTCCCTTATAAGATACCTTAATAAGTTTTAGCCAAATTCTAAGGCAGCATTTCATGTATTGTTCACAGAGAAGTCAAACCCAGAATGCATTGCAACAAGAGAAATATAATTTATCAAGTTATACTTCATTCAATAACATTCATAAAAACTTAAAATGTATGATTTTGCCCAACATTGGTGAGTTTTAGAGTATCACATCGTTAGCTTAGCAACATGCAAATGTGAAACCTTGAACAGAGCAAGAAAAATGTTGATTATAAAGTAATATTTTATTCGATAATGCTCATAAAAACTTAAAATGTGTTATTTTCCCCAACATGTGCAAGTTCTATGTATTTTTGTATTTATTAGAATATCACGCCATTAGCTTAGCAACATGCTAACGTCAAACTCTGGACGAGGCAATGTTGATTATAAATGTACATTTAATTCGATGACGTTCATAAAATCTCAAAAATATGTTATTTTGCCTAACATGTGAGTTTTATGTTTATACTTATTGGAATCAAATGTCAAACTTCGGATGGTAAAAGAAAAATGTTGATTATATTTAATTCGATAACGTTCATAAAACCGTAAAATGCGATATTCTACCCAACATTTGCGAGTACTGTGTATTTTTTTATACTTGTTCAATTATCACACCATTATCTTAGCAAAATGTTAATGTCAAACTCTAGACAGGGCGAGAGAAATGTCGATTATGTAATAATTCATTCGATAACGTTCATAAAAGCGTAATGTATTATTGTACCCAACATTTTTGAGTTCAGTGTACACTTATTAGAGTATCATGCCATTAGCTTAGCAACATGCTAACGTTAAACAATTGAAATCAATTGCAAAATTGAGTCAGTTTGTGTCGCTGCCTATATAGTGTGTTCAAAATGAGCCACTTATGAGGTTCCGTGACTCTGCCTATGTAGGCAGAGCGGCAGCTAACTAGGTTTTGGTACAGAGCTAATATCAGTCATGGTCTTCAGGTCTTGCCTTACATTTGAGCTCTGGGTACTTCAGACTCTGCAGTGGAGGGGAGAAGAGTTTTTGTTGGGATTGTAAACAGTGAAGTCACTCTACATACCCTGAGTTTTTGAGTCAGCCCACATGTTGAGATGATCGACAGGCAGCCTTAGCTGCCGACCAGCATGGTTCCCATGCCGATAACATCATATTAATTTGTCCAAACTGTCTGCATCTGAGGAAAGGTATCGAAGTAAGCATTCATGATGCTCGTGTGTATTCTTTTAAGCTCTTTTCGCCAGTAGTTTTGAATGTTGGCTGTCCAGTCAGTTCTTTTTAAAGTATGGCTGAGGTAGTTTCTCAGTTTACAGAAATTAATTTTGCACATTTTTTCATCTTTGCACAATCATATCATGGTGATGATGGAAGTCAATCAGTTAAAGAGTTTGAGGAAAAGAGAGACAACTATACAGTAACTATATAAAGAAAGATATGAGTTCATATACAAATATTTATATTGCATATTGATGTATCAACTCATTGAGCACAATCTGATTATATGTTAGATTATATGTTAAGCATATTAGATTGTATTTATTTTTTATTGTTATGAAAGTATTACGTATTAAAGATGTGGGAAAAGTGTTGCTATGGGACTTTTAAAAAAATAAGACCAAATCACTGTTGAGGCATATAGTTTATTTAGCTTCGTAATTTGGTAGGCATTCTCAATGTATTTTCATGTATTTGGTCATGTGAATTTGCACAGAGGTATAGTAAAGGTATTCCTATAAGGAAATGTGTTGAGGTTAAAGGCCTTCATCAATATTCTGTTTTAATTCTCTGTCCTATTTTTTCCTCTCTTTATTTATTCCTCTCTTTTCTTACAGTCCCCCCATACTGGGTTCCCACACTCGAGCTTGAAAAGGGGTCATGAAAAGATAATCAAAACTCCTGTAATTACTATAATATTTTCTATAGTCCTACAAAATATCTATTTAGGTTGAAATGCTCTTTGCGAGTGCATTAAAATGATTTAAAAAATCTTTATCCAATAATCGCAAACGACTTGAAAAGTCATGAAAATTTGTTGGCCAAAAGTTGTGGAAACCCTAGCTTCTGTCTTTTATTTATTAATTTTTTTCTCCTTAATATCTCAGTTTTTCTTACTTCGTAAATTGTACTTCCTTCATTCTTTCTATCTTTCTATCGATAGACTCCTGGCAGGCCTTAAATCAGGACGCATGTGAAGTGATGGATTATGCTTTATTACTTCCTTGTTTATTTTGTGTGCTAATGTCTTGATGGGCATGCTAATAGTCTTAAAAAATATTGAAAAATACTACAAACAAGCTTAATAGAATTTAGCCTACTTTGAAAGAGTACTATGTAATGGTTTATGAGACTAAAAACCAATGGTCAAAGCACAGAGAAACCATCCTGATCATCGTCAAAAGAAAAAAGAAGAAATTTTCAGTATTTTGTCATTTATAAACCTGAATAATATTTTTGAAAGTATTTGAAAATCAATATTTATCAATATATCATATAAAAAAGAGTATTAATATGTAAACGGACATTTCTCCATATTTAAATATTCAATATGTAGTCCACAGTTGACCAGTAAGAGGCAAACATCATTGGTAGACGCCCCCCTTTCCCACTGTGCAAAGACCAACTGGGAATTTTTCTTTATTTTCTTTCTTTTTTATTTTCAATTTTGCAGATTCCTTGAACTGCATGCATTCATAAAAGACTAAGTTGAGAATAAGTGTTGTATTTACTGTCAATTGATTTACATGGTGCTACTCAAGCGTGTGTGTGTGTGTGTGTGTGTGTGTGTGTGTGTGTGTGTGACTGTCTGAAACCATCAAAACCCTACAGCACTGAACTGAACTGAACTTAATCACATTTATAGCAATTACAATGTACAAGTTCTGAGATTAAATAAATGCAACGTGTGTGTGTGTGTGTGTGTGTGTGTCTGTGTCTGTGTCTGTGTGTCTGTGCAATACTATACCTCCCCCTGTCCCTATGTCGGTGCCATAGAGGATCTAATAGGAATGTGAACGAAATCTTACATAAAGTTCATTTTTCGTTTCATGTAAACTACCTGAAATCTAACGACATTATCATCTTTTTTTGTTGATGCTAAGACCATCTTTGTGATCCTATCATTGATGGATATGTATCTTTCTCTCATTCTGTCTTATTTCTTTCTCTCTTGGTCTCTGCAAACTGCATCCCAGTATTTGATGTTTAATGTCTCTATATTGTTGTGTAAATTAAATAATAAACAATGTGCCGTCAATTATGTCTCTTTTGTGTCCGTGCTGGGTAGAGGTCATCTGTCTAATACAATCTGCAATGCAGCATAAATCTAAAAAGAGATTAATAATACAAATTTATTTGACGCTATTGGTCTTGATTGTTTTAGTAATCTATCTATCTATGTTGGGAGAAGATACTCAATAGATCAAGATTGAGATATGGTTGATAATAAGACAATAAAATTGTATAAAATATAATAGGCCAAGTTAACAAAACAGTTAACAGTGATTTCTTTACTTTTCTTGTATATTCATACATTTAATTGGACTATTATTCATATTAACAAGCTTTTTCATTAAGAGTATCCTCCCTAATATAAATCTGCATATATTACCTAAAGAATACAGGATAATTCTTTCTAAACTTTCAAGATGAAATTTAGTACGTAAAGTTTGGGACTTTTTACGTAGTGATTTGCTGACTCGCGAACTGCTCGGACCGATTCAGTTCGACTTGTGTTTCGGATCGTTTTGTAATTCATTGAAAAGATTCGACTCAAAAGAATGATTCTTTTTCATCGCTACTTTGCGAATGAATTGAATGTCGCCAATCAGGATATTTTGGCGACGCCCTGTTCGGCCAAAACCTGTAACGTAATGTCTCCTGCCTAACAGGTCCGCGGAATATACATTGTTTCATTTGAGGTGAATGCTTACACTATAAACAGTGTCCACAGCTCTGTTTACAAGATATAGGTCAGTAGAGGAAGGAGAAAAGCTAAACTAAAACCTGTTTGTCCACTTTTAATAAATAACCCTCGGTTCATTTTAAATACAGCAAAGAAATCCGATCTTGGGTGTGTTATTTTAGAAAAGGAAAAAAAAGAGACATGGCCCTTTAAATGCAATGCCGAACCCCTTATAAGCTAAAGAGTGTGACGTTGTTTACCTGTCGGCAGGTGTTTTCGGATGTTACTGAGGGAGAGGTTGATGATGCACCTTTTCAAAGGGAGTTTTAACATTTATACAGAGACAGAATTTGGATTATAGTAGGCTACATTCGTACTTTTAAGAAAACACACACACACACATTGGATTTATAGTTCTGAAATCAGCTGGAACCATTTTATCAACGCTTTGCAAGACTGATTTGCATAAATCGCTGAAAGGACTTGGCACAACATACGGGAATTCTCGAACAGGGGAAATACAGTATCCGAAAAGTGTCATTCTGGATGTGAAAAGCTTCGACATGATGGAGAATCGTGTTTGACGACCTCTTTTCATCATCCGATGTTATAGTAAGAATTTATTATATTATTCTCAAATATCTCGCAATATGTTTCTTAATAAATACATTAATTGTAATGTACTTTTGTCCCTCAGAAATATGGTTGTAACATAAATAGTTAATACAGCACTTCAAAAAATACAGTACAGTGAATGTATGCGTAGTCTATGTTACTGAATGATGATTATCTGATCCTCATAACATGACATTTGCTTAGTAAAGTACATCAAATAGTACAATGATATCACCATGGAACATGTACAAGAAATGAGGGTCTAACCATTGTTTATGTACAAAAGAAATGGTGCATGTATAAATATAGGTGAATACCATGGTACCATGTCCAAAAACGTGCTATTACCATGTTAAATATACAAAAACCATCATATTATCATGGCAACAACTATGTTAAAACCATATTTATTGAAAATATTAATTTATTACTTTTTAGGTTTTTGCCTGTTTTGTTAACGTGAAAGTTTTATCTACACTTTTCAGTGTCTGCTATTCAGGAAATAAGTCGACTTTTCAAACAGAATGGCATTAAAGCGTTCGTCTTCCATGAAGACCCAGCTGGTCAATGCCATCCAGCTTCAGGAAGTGGAGATGGAGGAAGAGATCAACACCAGTAGCAGTAATAACAATCCTGCCGAAGGTGAAGAACATACAATTTACACAAATCACATGTGCTTATACTACTGTAACTTTATTACTACTTGTGACCAGTCAAGTAGCATCCAGTCATCTCAAGCGATTTTTAACCTCTGTAGCCC